GGGGAGAAATGCCAGATGTAGGTGATGGGGAGGAAGGCAGCAAATCACACTGCCACGTGTGTACCTATGCAACAATTTTGCATGTTCTTCACATGTACCCCAAAACCTAAAATGCAATAAAATAAATAAATGGGGAAAAAAAAATAAATAGTATTACTGGACTATAGAACGTTTTTATATATAATAATCCAGGTGATTATGCCAAATTTGCTATGTACTGGTCTTTTCATGGTACCATGACACCTTAGGGCCTTCCTTATGGTAGAGATACCTGGGCCAATCATACATACAAGCTCCATTCTTAGCTTTCCCAGGTGGGACTGCTTAGCTGGCAACCTGGCTCCCCAGTGCTTGGGCTGAAACAAACTTCTTCATCACTGGCTTTATGCCATCACTGGCCTTATGGTATCACTGTCTTTATGGTATCACTGGTTTTATATTTCATGAGGGCTATGCTTGAAGTTTCACCCTTATCATTTCTAATTGTGCTGGGGTTCTGCCTTCCTAACTCCCTTCCCTGCATTGGTAATATAATGCTCTCCCATGAATACATCTGTTTCCTATAGCTGGGATACCTGGTACTTCTTGCAAAGGGTAGAAAGTCGCTACTAAGGGTTCCTAGAGAAAGGCTAGATTATGCTTCCAATTCTTTCATCTTAAAAAAATAGAAGTTTCCCAATGTGAGTACTGAGACACATATTCAAACACTCATTCATTCAACTAGGTGGTGGGTACTTAACACTCAGCTAAGCACTTGGGTGGGGGATATGGTGCAGACAACCAAAATACTGATGACCAAATGAATGGCACAGACTGTAAGTGTTGTAGGTATATATTTGAACCTCTTAACAGGTCTGCCTTTCTCAAGTCTCTCCTCTTTGCAATTTATCTTCCACACTCTACCAAGTGAGCTTTTTAAAAGTTAAAGCTCATTTGTTTGCATAGAAAAAAGCTCTTTAGTGCAGCATTCAGGGCTCTTCATAATCTGGCCCTAACTTCCATTCAAGCCTTAATCCTTCCTACTCTCTCTCAGAAGCCCTGTATTCTACACATAGCAAATTTCTCACTGGCCCCATGAGGCACCAGGCCCTTCCTGATTTTTGTTCCCTCTGCTTAGAATGCCTTTTTCTCCTTCTTCACCTAGTGAACTCCCAATCAACATCTAAGATTCAGTTCAAAGTCTTGTTGAAATACATCCCCATGGTCCTCATCTGTCCTGGATTTGAGCACATTGTTCTGTCATCTTTATTAGATGGTGAGATTTTGGAGGGCACTGGGATTATCTCATTAGTCTTTATATCTCTGAATACAGGTCTCAATAGGGCCTGGCAAATAGTAGGGGCCCAACAAATAATTGTTAAATTAATCAAGGAATGTATGAATGTAAAGGAAGAGCTCAAAGGGGCTTGGAGTATTTAGGTAAGGGTTTTTGAAGGGCACAGGGCTTGAAGCTGGACCTAGGAAGATAATAGAGAAGTGGGGAATGGGCATGTGGAGGAGGAGGATTATTACCCTAGGACATGGAAGAACTGAAGCCCAAGACTGAGAGCAAAGACAGTGGGAGGTCAGCCTAGCGGCAACTGACCACTGCATTATCTTGACCTTTTCACCTACTAGATTTCTTGATTATATTTTCAGCTTGTGGAGGGCAAGGTATTTTGTGTACTCTTTTGTATCCCCTTTATATTTGATGCACATCTCCACAGTCACTATTCCTATTGTCTTATTCTTTTTCTGCTTTGTATTATAACTATCTGTGCATTTGCATATCTCCCCAGCACAGACACCACCCTCCTTTCCTAGCTGCTTAAGGTAAGTGATGAAGTTTTCTCTTTGCATTTCCTAAGACTTTTAGCATGGTGCCTGGCACACAATGGGTGCTTAGCAAATATTTTTTGATCTACCATTTGTTGATCGGATTTCAGAGGACCACAAGGATATTTGTGTGCAACTGTATTGTGCCACAGAACTTATATGCCTTCATACTGTGTAGTCTATTTTTGGCAATTTTCATTAAAATGTTATCTTATTGTACCTGGAAGACTGTCATTTCAATTTTATTCTTTGTTCCTTCTTGCATGACTCACATCTCTTAAACCAGAAGGATATGACAGAAGGGATTCACAAAGGGTTTGGACAAATTTATGAATGACATAGTCATAAATGTCTGGTTATAAGAAGTGAGCAGCATGCAAAGGGGAAGGAGGAACTTGCATTTTTTTTTTTTGGGACAGAGTTTTGCCCTGTCACTCAGGCAGTGCAATCTCAGCTCATTGCAACCTCTGCCTCCCAGGTTCAAGTGATTCTCCTGCCTCAGCCTCCCGAGTAGCTGGGATCACAGGCATGCGCCACCATGCCCACCTATTGTTTTTATCTTTAGTAGAGACAGGGTTTCACCAGGTTGGCCAGGCTGGTCTCGAACTCCTGACCTTGTGATCTGCCTGCCTCGGCCTCCCAGTGTGTTGGGATTACAGGCATGAGCCATTATGCCTGGCGGAGAACTTGCATTTTTCAAGTGCCTATTAGGTTCCAGGGAACTATGTGTTAGGCACTTGGCATATATTACATCTTGTTTAATCTTACAGATTATTTCAGTATAAAGATAGAACATCTATCTATAAGGCCAAGCCTACACCCATTCAGGCCCATAGCTTCTCCAGGTACCAGAGGCAGTATTCATCTTTATTAAAATTGTATCAATCTTTTAACATAGATGAAACTTAGGATTTGCTTTTGCTTCTTAGGAATAGAGAATTCATTCTCAGTTCAGGCTTCTACAGCTTAAAACTTCTTTCTGACATATAAAGTCCCAGAGCTTTAAATTACAATGCGATCTGAGATACTCCCACAGCAATAACAGTGATTACATTTGTTCACAGCACTTACCTTTTATATTTCATTAAGCTTCCAAATACTGAATAAAGGTAAGTCAAATCAAGAAAAGAGACTTCTATTAACCCTGATATCAGCAAATTGTCTCAAATTATAGTGTACCTTCTATTTGTATTCTAGACATATTGAATGGTTTTTCTGAGATACATATTAGACCTCACCTGAGGTTAGGAGAAAATTGGAAGGAAATTGGTTTAAGTTGTTTCTAATTTTTAAAAAATAATAGCAACTTTAAAAAGCATCATGCTCCCAAATGTATAGCTACTGTATCTGGCAGAAATCATAACATTATAACCAAAGCAACATCCCTAATCCTTGGGAAATAGCTTGAGAAAATGGGGCTGCATGTACTGGTTTGTTATTTTAAGTCATCCGGTCTAAGGTCTGTGGTTATACATCGTGATCTATGATAACATGCTTCCTGCTTGCAGGGAACTGAGGTGATAGGTAGGAACAAAAGTATGACTTTGGATTAGGGATTATCAGCATACCCACAGGCCCCAGACAGCTTTCCATCAACTTGTTTTAGGAAAACTAGAACAGGCATCTTAGCTTTTAGAAAACATAAAGCTCATCTTGTATGACTAAAGTAAAGTAAATGGCAAGGGCTCAAATGACGTTTCACATTTTGGTTGGTCCTGTTCCAGCTTCTGTGTGTCACTATTTGCTGAAAAAACACCAGCAATGGTGTTTGTAGTGATTATGGGTTTCTTGAATTTTATGTTAGTCAAAGAAAATTGAGCGATCAGTACTACCACCAAAGAACATGTGCCACATACCACCTATAAGACTTCTAAAAAAAAATAGAGAATTCAGCTTACACATTTTAAAAGTAGTCCCTTCCTTTTTGAGGCTAGGGGATAAAAATATGCACATATTCCAAAGAATTCTTTGTGTGAACAGGTGACCCTTTCCCACAGTCTCTGTAATTAATTGAGAAATTAAAGTTTGTTGGCCTTTGAGATCTCTTGTAGAAAAAAAAAAAAAGCAGAAGGTCTTGGATATTTTGGAACAAGAGTCCACTATTCTGCCAAGACAGTGTGTTATTGTTATTGAAGTGTCTCTCAACAAAACGGTATTGAGTGGTGAGGACGTGATTTTGATTAGGTGGAATGACTCAGCTCTTCCCCTTAAAGAAGAGAGGACTTGTCAGAGCCTTACTTACCTCATGATCTGGGATCTCAGAGGATAGTGTTTTCCCTAGGATGACCCCGGTCAAGTATGTCCAGCATCGAGCCGTGTTGGCAAGGTTATAGCCTCCTGTCTCCATCAAGAATTGTGAAGTTAGGAAAGAATAATCACAAAACAGCAGGAGAGGTAAGGGGGTAAGGAAAGAGAGAAAAATGTTTTAATAAACTGTCTAAAAAGATAACTTCAAATTTCAGAATTTCCCTTAAACATCCCTTTGTGATATTTTTAAACCGCCTAGTAGGCAGACTTCGGCGGACCAGTCAGATCATGCACAGTGTAAAACTGGGAAGTCCAAGGTCTGCAAAGATTAAAGAGGCTCTCATCTCCCCAGAAATATGTACCTGAGGAATCCAACCTCCTCAGTTCCATCAAGAGCCATCAGCAAGACTCAGATCTCTGGAATCCAGATCTCTTGAGGTGATCTAACTAATGGAAAGATTTCTGTGACGAATTTTGTAACAATTCTATAAAATGACTGCTGAATGTGATTTGTATTTTAAAACTATTGGCAGATCTAGCCCTAAAAGCCCAGGAAAGAAAAAAAGGAAAATGCTAACAAAAACAGACTTCCTTCTTTCAATATCAGCACTCCTTTTCACCACAAAACATAGGCCTGGTGGCAGAGATCAAAGAGAGTGAGATGAGGAAGGGACCATTGATGGATGCTCTGACCCATCTCATCAGGTCCTGTCTCAGTCACCCAACAGCCATATTATACTGGCTAATAATCAGCATATTTTTGTGCTGAATAGATGTGCTCTGCCATGCAAGCATTAGAACATTGGCCTTTAGATAAATTCCAAGAGTATAAGGGTAAAATGGAATGATTTCCTAATCTCAATGCAGCCTAAGGGAAACAAAATCTGGTCTATTTTAGGTAGGGTGACCATATAAATTATTGTCCAAAATGGTATACTTTTAAAAGTAAAAGGAGGCACTATTAATCATCACACTGGGATAACATGTATAAACTAGGACATATGATTAACCTTTTTGGAAGCCTTTCTATTATTTGAAAGGTCAGGGATGCTTGGAGTATGCCTTTTAGGCCTCAGTGAGGTTCACTGAAGCTTGGGGATGTAGCCCTCTCTACTAATTGTCTATGTGTTAATAGGGGCTGAGAATTTCAGTTAAATAGTACAGATACTACTTTAAATACTCCTGACATGGAAAAACCTGAATTTATAAGATAGACTTATTTGGCATGATTATATAATTTGAAAAAAGGTCATCATAGGTTTTGCTTAAGTAGTAAACTATCTCTGGTACATACACAATATGATTTGATTTGCAAAAATTCCATTTATGCACAAGCGTTTTCAGGAATACACATATTTCCTAAGAAGAGTTATATATTCAAAAGACAAAACTTTGGGCTGAGAAAACAAGAAGGCTTTAGAGAATGCTAACAGACTTTTAATATAAAGATTATAGACTTAAACAAAAGTCAGATTTTAACCTGATGTATATGGTCTCTTCCCCCTCCTTAGCTGTACCTGTATCATAATCACCATCCTTAATGCTGTCAAGGAAAGTAATATGTCACACAGTACTTATCAACTTTATCTTTTCCTTCAGTTGAAGTTAATATATTTCTTGCCAGCTTTTCATAAGAGGTTGTCTGTTATAAGTACCTTTAATTTTGAGCCTTCTAGAGTTTGAGGCTGCCAAAGGACCAGGCTTGTGTACTTGTATTGAATGCTCACTCATTTAATAAGGCTTCCCCACAATTTCCCCTAACAGGTTGACAAAACAACCAACAATTAACTCATCTATAATACATGCATTTTAAGCTCAATCTGCTTGATTATGTTATTTTAAGATACCAATGTATTCATCCAATGAGATTGTGCCAGGTAAGTAGGCAGAAGATTTTAAGCAAGGCATCTTTAAAGGTGGTAGATGTTGTTACAAGTTCCTTTCTCAAACGTGTAAATGCTTCTGTTGAATAGACTGGCCTTTCTTTTGGCTAAGTAATACAAATAATCAGCACACATCAAAGGCAAGAATGCCAAAGAGACTATAGATCTCTCAATTTTGCTTCACTATAACAAATCCATGCTTTTTGGGGGAAGAGTCATTCTTGAATTCAGCTTATTTAATTTGTGTTTACTACTTACGAGTAGACTTGGAATTTTAGTGATATGTTCCCAAAAGATGATTATTACAACTGAAAACCAAAGACTACACTGAGATAAGATGAACCAAAATCTACTGGGGTTAACATCCTCTATTCTTAAGATCCAAGGTAACCTTGAACCAAATAATCTTTGCTTCAGGAATTGAAATTTAGACTTTAGAGTGCCAAGGAGTCAATGTACATGCTAAACTGAGAAGTATGTCAGAGTACTTTCTTATGCTGAACTGTGGAAGTGGCAGATTTCATTGACTCAGGCTTCTGGGCCACAGGTAGGTTGGTATTATCCAATCTAAGAAAGCCAAGTTTCCCAAGTTCAGTGCCAAAAGACAAAATGTGGAGGAAGGTAAACAAATTCTCCTGGTAACCTTCCTTTGTACTCACCTCCTCCCAAAATGAGTGTTGCCAATTGCCATTGAAGGACGTACTTAAGACACTTGCCAATTCCCACTGGAGTCATGTTAAAGGAGCACATGGGATCCCCAGCTATTGTGTCAGCTCCCAGCTGTAAGACCACTGCTTTAGGATTAAAGGCTTGGTATACTTCCTTTAGTACACTATAGAAAATAGAAAGGACATAATATATCAGAAAAATATAGGTCAGTTTGGTCTAGGGGTAGTGATGGTGGTGGAGCAAGTTGGAGGTATAGCTGAAATTAGCAAATAGTTAAGGGAAAAAAACACAACCTGTCAAACTCATCAAACTCTCCACCTAAAAGTGGTGAATCAGACTATATGTAAATGACACCTTAATAAACCTGACTTAAAAAAAATTTCCCCCTACTTCTATCCTCATGAATGAACACATTTGCCCTTCTATTTTAAAATTCAGATTTCCTTGAAATATTCATATTAATTTAACTTCAACAGCCATAGGACATAGTGTACACATTTAGTCTATTTTAAAATCTGGGAAAATAAGATATACACTGAATAGTCATTAAGGATTCTGTCTGATTATTTAAGATTAGAACCATACTTGGAGTTTAATCACTGGTTCTCAGTGGTGGCTGGGGAGAAGAAGTACATGCTTTACAAGCATAGATGTTATCAGGTAACTTTTTACTATGCAAAAAACTAAAGGGTTATGAAATGTAGTCCTCCCTAATGCATATGTAACCACGGTATTGTAAGGAAGGGAACTGTAACAACTGATCTAAAATTATAAATCTGAAAGCACACTGAAGAACAAATTGTAGTGTAACAATGAGCATAATTTTGGATAGAGTCATTCAATGCTACCTAGTCAACCTAGCTACTTCTTTTGATAGAAGCCTTGTAGATGAAAAGGAAGACGTCAATGTGACAGATGACCTTAATTAAGCTTTCAGTATTATCATTAATCGAACACTGACAGTGTCCGGAATGCATTCCTAGGAGTTAGAAAGTCCCTGCTCTCAAGGGGCTTACAATTTTCTTCCCAGACAGAATGTATACCAGCCCTCAAGGGCCTAAATAACTCTTACAGGGACATATAAACAAGTGCAAATTAACATACATCAGAGTTGAGAAAATACAGAGTTAAAAAGTGATAAAAAATGTTGAGGTTAATGGCCTCTTCATAGTCAACATGTCAAATTATACCAGTGCAGCAAAACCAGAAAAACCCCAGATCCTTCTGAAATGTGAAAGTAATTCAGGGACATAAAATGCCATCCTCCCAAATTCATATGTAACAAGGGTATTGAAATTATTGAATAGTGCTTACCCACAGAGGCATTCTTTGACTCAAAGGACTGTTTTATTTAGATTTCTCATCTACACAGAAAAATATTGAGTGATTGTAGAGATTATAAGAATATTATAAAAATAATGACTTATGATCCCTAATACAAGGATACTTGGGCCTATTCTCTCTTTCATATGCTTATCTTTTGGGTACAGAGGGAAGATAAGCTAACTGAATAGTTTAGACGACATTTATTGAGCATCTACACGTACAGAGCACCCTATTAGCTGCTGCTGGGAGACACAGAGGAAGGCGTGATGTCTGTTCTAAAAAGGTTTCTAGCTTATGGAGAAGGAGGGAGAGGCAACAAGAATAATGTTCTCTTCATTCATTCTTTCCCTCACTTACCACACATTTTCCTGAGCATCCACTGTGTGCCCAGCATGTAACTGTACCAGATGCTACAGGAATAAAGATGAATATGACACAGCCCCTAGCTTCATGTAGCTCGAAAACAGAGGGAAAGACACAGACTATGTCAATAAATAATTAAAATATAATGATAAATGAAGTGTCAGAAATGGCACAGAGTGGGAATAATCAACTTTTCCTGAGGATTTTAAAAAGGCTCTACAGAAGTAACTCTTGACTTAGGTCCTAAAAGATGAGAACTACAGTGAGCCAACTCTCAAGATGGCTATAATGAAAAATGGTAACAACGATTCCTGGTAAGGGTATGGAGAAACTAGATCACACACGTATCTGGTGTGAATGTAACATGGTATAGCCACTCTGGAAAGTAGTTGGGCAGTTCCTGTCAAAACTAAAAATAGACTTACCATATGACCTAGTAATTGTACTCTTGGGCAATGTATTCCAGATAATTTAAGACTGATTTTTGTGTAGGAACTTGTACATGATATTCATAGCAGCTCAGTTAGTAATAGCCAAACATTGGAAACAACCCAGATGTACTTCAACAGATAAATGGTTAAACAAACTAGTACATCCATGCCATTGGAATATTGCTCATTAATAAAAATGAGCAAACTATTGATACATGCAAAAAATCTGGACTGCTCTCAAGGGAATTATGCTGGGTCAATAAGGCCAACCTCAAAAGATTATATGCTGCATGAGTCCATTTATATTACATTTATGAAATAATAATTACAGAGATAGAGAACAGATTAGTTGGTTGCCAGAGGTTAGGGATGGGTGTAGCTATAAAGGCATAGCATGAGGGAGCCTTGTGGTGATAGTACTCTTCTGTATCTTAATTGTTGTGGTTATGCAAGGCTACATGTATGACAAAATTGCATAGAGCTACACAAACACACACACACACACACACACATACACACACACACACACGTGCATGTATAGCTGGTGAAATCTAAATAAGTTCTATGGCTTGTACCAATGTCCAATGCCAACTTCTTCATTTTGATGCTGTAATATAATTGTATAAAATGTCAACATCGGGGGAGGCTGGAAGGAGGGTACATGGGACTTCCCTGTACATTTTTTTGCAGCCTTCTGTGAATCTGTGATTATTGTGCAATAAAAGGTTTTTTAACAAGTGTATAAATTTATAGGTATATAGGGTGATTATAGGGAATTTGGAGACAGAGATGGTTGTGGGGTTTCTGGTAGGCGACTAAGTTCAGAGAAGGAAGTATGCATGCAGGGGCATGAAGGCTTGACAGCAGAAGTGGTGGAATGAGGCTAGAGAGGTAAATGTGGGCTATATATGCCCTGTAGGCTAATGAGTTTGGACTTTTGCTTAAAGGGTATAAAATGTCTCAAACATTGTGTGGGCGCATGTGTGCATCTTTGTGTGTGTGTGCTTTGGGGGCATAATTAGATTTCCATTTTAAAGACACTCAAGCTCTACTGCAGGATACCCTGAAGGTTGATGAGGGCTTTTGCAACCATCCAGGCCAGTGACAGCAAGGATAAGGAGGAAGAGATAGATTTGGGAGAAATTTATATGGTAGAATTGATAGGGTAATACAGAATGTGACACACAAAAAAAGCATATACATATAACATTTATGAGTGTTTGGTAATTAGGAGAGAGGAATAGATAAAGGCAGGTAGGTGTTTCTGAATTGTTTTGATTATAGCCAGGTAGAGAAAATGAGTCCTCAAGGAGTTCTGATAAAGAGGGCTCTGGTTAGGTATTGAAAAGGTTGATTAGAAGCTTTGAGAAAGGTAGGGCATCTTGTACATAGTGCAAACTTCAAAGCAACTGAAGTAAGGGCAGCTTACAGAGGGGTGGGCAGTGAACACTCTTAAATTTCAGACTGGAAGTTTTCATTTGATGTTTTATTTAATGTTTGTAGAATTTGTTGAATTAAAGTTATAAGCATAAACTCATAATGGAAGCAATTCACTTATTTTCACAATTTTCATTTGATTTGACAGTCAAATGGGAACCATTGGAGAAGTATGAGGTAAGTAGTAATGTTGCTGAAAAATTATACTTAGGAACTTAGGTTTTTGCTGTTGCATGTAAAGCCAAAGTGACAAAGTTAACCTCACAGGGCAAAAAGAGTATTGAAGCATTCTAGTCATGATGACAACAGGAAGCAAGGTAAGGTAAATTTGGAAAAAATTGGGAGGGCTAAGTGACAGAGCAGGAGTGGAGCATCAAAGGAGAAAACACTGTGCCCATTCCTCCAGAATTCCCAGGATGGGAAAAGAAAAATGGGAATATTATTTTTCCTATTGCCACTTCCAAATCCAACATTCTTTCTTCTTATCAATCGTTCCCTCTTTTGAGTCAATGTCATTTGATAAAATTACTCAAATACTACTATCAAAGTTCTTATTGTTCACCTCCCTTAGGGATTTTAGCACCAGTTTACAATTTTTTTCTCTCTCTTTCCTTGTCATCATTTTCTGCAGTTCAATATTAATTCCCTCACTCAAACCTTGATTCAAACACTAGAGACACAGAAATAAGCAAGACTCAAGGAACCTGTGGTTTGATAGGGGAAGAAAACAAAAAAAAAAAGTAATTGCAGTAAGTGCTACAATATTCATTCATTCATTCATTTATTCTTCAACAAATGTTAATTGAATGCCTACTATAGGTACTAGGTTGGGCAATGGGTTCACAGTATTGAACAAGAGACCTGTTGTTCCCCCATGTCTGTTCTAATTCTCTAACATCACAGTTTCTTTATCTTTTCAACAATAGTGATGTCTACCTACACTCTACTTTATTTCTAGTCACTTAGGGGCCTGATAAAGAAGCACTTGGAATTGCTCTTCTTTGAAGACCCTGAACTCTGAACTACTTTCTCCATCTGCAATTTTCTGTCTTTCCAACTCCTATTGCATTTGCTCTTTATTCTTACTATAACTCCTACTCCCTAGTTTTTTCCCCCTATTTTCAAAGTACACTATCCTATATATATTTTTTCTTTTGAGACAGGGTCTCAGTCTCTCACCCAAGCTGGGGTGCAGTGGCATGATCATGGTTCACTACAGCTCTGACCTCCTAGGTTCAAGCAATCTTCCCACCTCAGCCTTCCGAATTGCTGAGACTATAGGCCACCATACCCAGCTAATCAAAAAAGATTTTTCTACACATGGTTCCCACTTTGTTGCCCAGGCTGGTCTCGAACTCCTGGGCTCAAGCAATCCTCCCACCTTGGCCTTCTGAAGTGCTGGGATTACAGGCATGAGCCACCATGCCCAGCTCAGCCTATCTTTTGACTTCACTTGCTTCATTACTCATTCTGGAGAATATGATTAGTCATTTTGTAAACTTACTTTAGCACCCCAGTTCCCTCACACCTTTGCCATTTTTGCCTTGTCAATCTTTAAGCCCTTGGATGATCCACACCATCAGAGTTTTCTCTCTGTTCTGCTGGA